TTCAGGGACCTCTGTGTATTTAATGAAGAGAAAGGTAGCCAGATGGGAATCCTATCACTTTGCTTCAACCAAAGGGTGTTTCTTTTATATGCTGTGAATTGTTGCCAAGAGTGTCAACACCTATAAACTATATCATCTCAATGGATTTTTCAGCTATCAATTTTTGAAAATATTTAATACTCCTAAGGTTAAGAGACAACTAGTAACAACTTGAGTGAAAACAGCAATAACGTCAATAATGTCAGATATCGTATCAACAATTCTTACTGCCATACCGCAAGTACCTTCTGTGTTCACACTTTGAAATGTGCTGAAGCCTGTGTACAATCTCAGAAGTAGGGAGTGTAATCTCTGTTTCTAGAATGAGAAACTGGTGGCTCAGCAACATTAAGGATTTTGCCTAAGTCAAAGTAATTTAAAGTGGTAGAAGTGCAGGACTTGCTAAAAAGTCCCTGCATTATCTAACATGATAATGCTAACTTACCAAACTTTGCCTTTGGTAAAGAGAGAACAAGTGTGCAAGAAAGAATTTCTGGAGGCTTTCATAGCAAGTAAAGGTATTTCTCAAAATTGCAGCAATGACATGAAGCAAGGGTTGAGATTGAACTCCACGTAATCTCACTAAACCTCTCTTCTTTCTATCAGTTTGCCATGTTGCCCCTATAGTGAGGGACAAAGCAAGACCAGAAGGAGAGAAGCATGGGGTACCTTTGTATTTGTAGAGGTTATCAATAAACCTGACTACAGTTAATTACGTTATTTTAGTGGAATAAATTTTTTGAACAAGCAAAATCCACAGGAAAATATAGTTCTACAGGACTCATCATTTGCTAATTATCTAATAATATTTCAAAGATTTTGTTGATCATCATTTCTACTTAGATTTTCACTATTGATCAATAATTAGCAATTTTTGAAAAAATACATTCAATAAATGTTAATGATAGATTCACCATCAGTTATAAATTGTTTGTGGTAGAGTTTCCAAACTCCAGCTTTCTACTTTTAAATTTATTACACAATATTTTCTTTTATATTTTGGTTTCAGATATATTTGGATAACATCAATTCATTAAACAAATGTTTTTTCCCCCCAACATCCTTTACACCCCTTTGATCCTTTTTCTCTCCCTACTCCTTTAAATATATATATATATATATATATATATATATTTATTTAATTTATGCACTAGCTGGGGTACAGCCCAGAGGTGCGGGAGGGTGAGAGGATTCACCAGAGACAGAGTAGGGAGCAGAATAGGCAGACAGACCAAAAGTGCTACTGAGGGGAGCAGCAGGGGGCGACAAGAGAGGTCTGCCACGCCTTGTGGGAATCTCCCTGGCTGGCCAGGAATCAAATCCGCACTGCAAAGGCTGTGGACAGCTTCACAGCACTGCGCCCAACCCGCTGTGCCAACAGGGAGGCCCCCTACGCCTTCTTAACCTCAGAAACCAAAAGTTATTAGTGCCTGATAGTTTCTATAAGTAATATTTTTTGTCAAATCATCTGCTATATAAATATCCAATATTTGTCTTTCTCATTCTGATTTGCTTTAATGAACATTACACTCTTGAATTACTTCAGTATCAGTGTAAATGGCAACACTTTGTCTTTTCTTATGGCTGAAGAACAATCAATTGTGTGGATATACCATCTCTTCTTTATCCAATCCTTTATTAGCAGGCATTCAGGTTTGATTCTATGTCTTAGCTTATGTCTTAGCTTTTTTAAATCATGCTTCAATGAACAGTAGAGCATGTAATATTTTGAGTCGTCGGTTTCATGTTCTTTGGAGAGATGCCCAAGGATGGCATTGTTGGTTCTTATGGTATTTCTAGTTTTTTAAAGTAGAGCCGGATCATTTTTTCAAAATGGCTATACCAGTTTGCATTTCCATCAATAGTGGAAAGGTGTCCTCTTTCCCTGTATCCCCTCTGGCACTTTTTCTTTTTTTTGTTTTTTCTTTCTTTCTTTTTTTTTTTTTTAACTTTTTAAGGACAAGTTTATTAGGAAAATTAGGAAAAGGAGAAAAAAAAGAGATGCACCTGCATAGCAGCAGGTAGGTAGGAGAGTTGCCACTGCTATTTTGCAAAAGGGACAAATTTGTAAAAAGAAACACCTGCCTAGTCACAGGCAGTTAAGGAGATCCAAAACTTGTTTTGGGGAGTCTTTATGTGTTATTCTCCTGGGTGTGAGATCTATCAGTGTGGTTTTCACCTGCATCTCCCTTTTTATTTTTTTTAATAAATTTTATTTTTATATTCCCCATACAATTACAACCCCTTTATTTTTACCCCAAGCCCTCCTTTCCCCACACCCACCCCCCAACCCCCGTAGAGTGTCTCTTGTTCATAGTTATTTGTTGATTTTGATATTTTTCTTTCTTATAGTTATTCTTTTTCCTGGTCCCTTATTTAAGTTTTCTAGATTCCTGCTATGAGTGAGACCATCCAGTATTTTTCTTTTTCTTTCTGGCTTATTTCGCTGAGCATGATCCCTTTCAGCGCCATCCATGTTGCTGCAAATTGCATGTGTTTATCTGTTTTGAATGCTGAGTAATATTCCATGGTGTATATGGACCACATCTTCTTGATCCAGTCATCTATTTTTGGGCATTTGGGCTATTTCCAAAGCTTAGCTATTGTAAACAGTGCTGCTATAAACATAGGGGTGCAGGTGCTCTTTGGAATGGATGTTTCTGTGTCCTTTGGGTAAATACCTAGGAGTGGAATTGCTGGATCATATGGAAGCTCTATGTTTAGTAGGTCCAGAAATCTCCACACAGCTCTCCATAGTGGTTGGACCAGTTTTCATCTCTCTTTTTAAAAGTGATAATAGGGCCTCCCCTTTGGCACAGCGGTTGAGCGCTGGGTTGTGAAGCTGCCCGCAGCCTCTGCGGCGCTGGTTCCACCCCCGGCTGCTCCCCGGCCACCAGAGGAGGGTCCCACATGGCGCGCAGTCCTCTCCTGCTGCCCGCTGCTCCCCTCAGCAGTGTACTTCAGTCCTTCTGCCTGCTCTGCTCCCCGCTCTGGCTCTGGTGAATTCTCTCACCCTCCCGCACTTCTGACTGTACCCAGTGTTTGTATGAATAAATAAATAAATCTTTAAAAAAATAAAAAAAGTGATTATGAACAATTTTCCATGTATCTGTAGGCCTTACAGATTTTCTCATAGGTGAACTGTCTCTTCAGACCTGTTGTTCATTTAATAGCTTGGTTGTTTCTGTTAAACAGACTAAATTTTTCTTTTATATCCTGTGTTTTAACCCCATGTCAGCTGTGTAATGTGTGAATAGCCTATCTTCATCCTTTCAGTTAGGTGACTTTTTAATATACTTGAATTTTCTTTCACTATGCGAAAAATTTTTGATTTAAAATAATTACAACTGTTTATATTCGCTTCTATTTTATTTTCCATAGGGGTTGTATCTCCAAAAGCATCCTTATTAGTTGATGTCATGAAATGTATTGCCAGTGTTTTCTATTATATATAAGTATACACTATAATATGTATTATATATGTGTATTATATTATATAAAATATGTATTTTATTATATATTATAATATTTCAAGTCTTATATCTAAGTCTTTAATCCATTTAAAATTTCTTTGGGGCCTCCCTAGTGGCCTAGGGGTTAAGTTTCAGGGCTATCACTGCTATGGCCTGAGTTCAATCTCCAGCAATGGAGCTAATCCACATACGGTACAGCAGACCTCTTCTGATTTGCCTGATGCTCCCCTCAACAGTGTATTTCAGTAGATCCACCTGTTCTGTTCCCCACTCTGTCTCTGCTGAATCCTCTTACCCACCGCACCTCTGGCCTGTACCCCAGTTCTTCTACACACACACACACACACACACACATATCACAAATATAATTTATCTTTTACCATGAATGTAGATAGTTATCCAGCTTCATTTTTTACAGGTGGCCATCCAGTTTTACCAGTGCCATTGTTGGAGACTCTCCTTTCCGCATTGTGTGTTAGTAACTCCTTTATCATGAATTAAGTATTGATAGTGGAACAGAATAATTTACAGTCTTTCCAACCTTTTCCATTGATCCACATGTATATTTTTATTATAATACTACATATTCTTTAAATTACTATTCCTTTATATTATAGTTTAAAGGCAGGTTATGATACCTCTATTTCCTTTTATCTAAAGATTGGATTAGTTAGTCAAGGTCTTCTAGGGTCCATATAAATTTTAGTATTATTGTTGTATTTCTTAGAAGAATATTTTTGGTATTTTGATGGGGATTACAGCAAATTTATATATCACTTTTGGCAGAAAAAAATTTGGACTATATTGACTCTTCCCTTCAATGACATTGCAGATTTTTTCCCAACTCTTTAACTCATGATCTGTATCCCTTAATGTAGACTTATTTTCACTGAGTAAGTCCTTCATCTCCTTGGCTTGGTTAATTCCTATGTATTTGAATTTTTTGATGCCATTGTGAATAGAATTATATTCCTAATTTATTTTCTCATACATAAAAATACAACTTATCTTTGTATGCTGATTTTTTTAGATATCACTGGTATATTCATTGGTTGTTTCTAATAGGTTTTATGAGGCATCCTTAAGGTTTTCTATATATAGTATTATATTTCTGCAAATAATGGCTATTTCACTTCCTTACTTTCAACTTGGATTCCTTTTATTTCCTATTGTTATCTGATTGATCTTGCTTAAATTTCCAATACTACATTAAAAGAAGTGCTTACAGCAGGCATCCTTATATTGTTCCTGATGGTACAGAGAGTTGCAATTACTAAGCTATGGTAGAGTGAATCAAAAACAGAAATGATGAATTTGCATATCTATACTCCTTATTTGAATCTTCTTTTGACAAGGCCAGAAGGTGTATGTCATATGCCATTAAACATTTAATGGAAGAAACAGAACAAACCTAAATGATAAACTGGCATTGGAAAGCTTAATTATAAATCCAGACCCAGTGACCATGTGCTATTCTCAATTTTCCAGAAGATGGTTCCTCAAAGCAGAAGGTACTGTGAAGTTTATCACAGATCAAACAAAAGGAAGCTTTCAATACCAGAAAAAGTGATTTACTATCATTTGTCATTTCCATATTAATATCCTAGATTTTAAAAATAAAGATGTAACTATTTTTAGAAACTAATCTATTTGTCATAAATTTATTTTTGTTCTACTGATATGTTGGTGGAGCCAAAAATATTCTGTTTATCCAACAGGATGAGAGTCAAGCTTGCTTTTCAGCAGCACTTGGTGCCTGTGTCCTCTGCTTGATCATATGCATTGGCAGATGTTTCAGTGCTACCCAGATGGAAGTGACCTAACATATTGTAAATCTTATATAACTGCCACTGACATTTGATAAATGTAGAACTGTCACTCTATGCTGATAAAAGAATTGTTACTAAAATTAATGAATATACAGGGAGTGAAATGTAAAATACCAAATAGTTTTTATTTTGCTTTGGAGCAAATGATATCTCTGGATCATAACAATGTTATGAACTATGCAAAATGTTCAAATGACATACAAACTATATACAAAGTACATACAAACATTAATATTTTAAATGAAAGTATAAGAACATTTAGACCCCTTTGCTAATATTCAGCACAATACACTGAACTACAATAGAAATTGTTGATGGTTTTATAAATAATATTTAGGTTTCCATAAAAATGAAATTATAGTTAAATCCCTGGCAAAATTTTCCTAATATACTTCTGTGTAAATGTACTGACAGTAGGTATTAGTAAAAAACAAAGCTTAGTCCCTCACGTGGACAAATCATATGATCTAACTTATTCATATACAGCTCCTTTACTTTGGAAAGAAATTCCCACTATTTATATAAGTTATGTTTTCTTCATTTTCTGAAGTAGAAATCTTGTGTCCCTGTAGAGCACAGGAGGGGCTGCCCCCCTTAATGTAGTAATTCCTAGACATAGTAAACAAGGTGCCTGTAAACAAATTGTTTCAATGCAAGCCAGCTAACCCCAAGTGCATACTTTCCATCTGCATACCTTTGTTATATTTTGGCACTTCTAAGACACTATCCCATGCTCTTAATCATTCCAGGGCCAGAGCAAATGCCATACAAGTAGCAAACATTCCCTTCCCCCAATAGTTCAGAACACACTCGAATTATTCAAACTATCTAATCCTATATAAACTGAGATTTCCCACCCTGTCTTGCCCAATCTTTTGAAAACCACCCTGGCCTGACCAGTCTAGAGGCTTCCTCACTGGCCTTGAGTAGACTGGGATTCCCACTCCCCTTGGGAACTTTGAGTAACCAACTACTCTTTCCATGGCAATATTTTCCTGATCTCTTTGCTTCATTCCTGCGGGGGGGGGGGGGGGGGCAGGGGGAAGAATCTTGGGTACATGTGAAAAAAAACTACTCAAGTCTTCCTTACAACAGATCTAAGTTTATCTCATTTCTATCAATTGGAATGTTTAGAGGGCATGATGTGAAACTTATGACTCTGTAGACGTGATCTCATAAGCAACGATACAGAAATTGAAGTTTTCTTGAAGGGAGAACTCTTTAGGTTCTAATCTTAGCTCTGAAACTTAATCTAGAAATGAAATATTTGGCAATATGTTTAACCATATATATTTCTCTTTAAAAATGATTTATTTATGCATAAAGATCTGGGGTGTAGATGAGAGGTACGGGGGTTGAGGGGATTCACCAGAGACAGAGTGGAGAAAAGAACAGGTGGATCACCTGAAATACACTGCTGAGGGGAGCAACAGGTGAGACAGCAGAGGTCTGCCGCACCATGTGTGTAGCTCCCTGGCTGGGGATGGACCCTGTGCTGCAGTGGTTGCCTATAGTCCTGAGACTTAACCACTTGTGTCAGCAGGGAGGCCCCGTATATAATTATCTAGTGTTTGGGATGGTTGCAAACATGGTGAATTTACAAACTGGCCAGCACATACTAGGTACACAAAAAATATAGATTTTTATTCTGAAACTATATAATTAAACAACAACTTGACATTGGAAAAGACAATTTTCAGTGTCTCTCAGTTTTTTTTAATTACATCATTTATATGTGGTCCATTATTATAAAACTATACACACTTTTATAAAGAAATAGTAGATATCACCTCTTCAATCCCTGGTGTATCTCCTCCTAATGCTAACACCTGGTAACAAAATCCTACACTTTTATCAATCCTACAACATTTTGTGATTTTTATCTTGGGTGTGCGGTCCAAGACCCTGGTACACCATGAGCTGCCGCTCTGCCCAGTGTTTATAGGTGTTGTAAGACAAGCCGTACCCAAAGTCTTCTTCTGTGAGGGGACCCTGATGCCAACATTTGCATCTGTGACCTGGGGCAGAAGAAGGCAAACATGGATTAGTTCCCACTCTGTGGTCACATGAGGTCAGGTGAATACGGGCAGCTCTTGTCCGCAGCCCTAGAGGCTACCTTTATTTGTGGCAAATAGTGGTGAAAAGCTATGGCAAAGATAGATTTCACATCAGAGTATCGCTCCACCCCTCCTAGGTTATCCACATCAACAATGTGTCCTGTTTGGGGGCTGAAAAAGTCTAGACAGCTATGCAGGGTGCCTTTGGGAAGCCCCAGGGTGCAGTGGTCAGGGTCCACATTGACCAAGACATCCTGTCCATCCATACCAACATGTAGGACAAAGAAGTTGTTATTGAGGTGCTCCGTAGGGCCAACCTCAAGTTCTCTTGCTGCCAAAACATCTGTATTTCCAAAATGTGTAGTTTGCCCAAGTTTAATGAGAATGGGTTTGAAGACAGAGTAGCTGAAAAGCGCCTCATCCCAGATGTCTGTGGGGTCAAGTGCCTCTGGGATTGTGGTTCCCTGGACAACTGGTGGTCCCTGTACTCAACAGAACAAACAGTTGCACCCATATTAGTCACACAAATAAAAACCACATTCTTATCTATCAAACAAATACAAAGTGTTGATCAAGAAAGGCTCTTTGTAGAATAATATTAGTTAATGAACAGAAAAAAATAATTATTTACTATTTTGTAATTCCTATCAATTTTCCAAGCATGGTTGATCAGTGAAAAACATTAGATTAAAAAAAGTGCTTGGGGGAAAAGATATTCTCACAGTGCCAAGGTGTCACTCCAACGATTATTCATAAACTACATAAAGAAAAATCAGACTTGAAAATGAGGACGCCTACAGGTTACCACTTTAAACAAGTAATACAATTTACCATCCCTAATATCGTGAGAAGCTGACATTTACCTCTGATGTGATATAATTATAGCCTCCTATAATGAAAGTTCTTGTGACAAAAGTTTGAATTATATATAATTAAACAGTTAAAGCTAATTTTTGTAGTGATATTTGCAACTTCTTTTCAAATCATTCAGCAACAAAAACAACTATAGCACTGTGTCTGTGTGCGTGTGTGTGTGTATACATAAAGGAAATATGTGAAAATCCTATCTATTGTTACATCTAGGTGGGGAGTGGGGATGTTTATAGTACTATTCTTTAAACTTTACTGAGTTTTTGAAAACTATTTTAACAAAAAGGTAGAGAAAACTATGCTGATAGGTTTTCCCAGTTGCCTGATAGATGCTGGTGAAAACTGTAGCTCTTCAAACACAGGTGCTCATCCTGGCTGGCTAAAAAATTAAAAGAGCAACAACAACAACAACAAAACATCTGATTTTTGTGTATTTGGGAGTCTGTATCTTTTAAATTTTTTAATTTATGCTTTATTGATGTTTTCCATCTATTGTTTTGAGGAAAATAGAGCCAAATGATCTGAGGGAGCACTCAATACCTCAGCAGCATCAGAGTATACTTGCTGTCTTGCCTTGCCTTCTAATATATTGTTAAACTATGTTGACTAAATGACATCAAGATGAAATTGTAAGAACAAAAATCTGGGGACCACAGATGTTTCCATCTGAATATGAGCAAGTTTTGTCCCATTAGGTTTTTTTAATCTAATTTAATAGCATTTTTAAGACACATGGGTCTGATACATTATTTTATTTAAGTTGTTTTTTATAAACATGCCTATGTTTACATTCCTTAATTGTGCAGAAATCCTTTCAAATTTATGATCTTTTTTATGGAGTAGGACACTGATCGGTAGCTCTGTCAAACAATTGTGAGAATTTTTTTCCCTCTCTTACTGAGATGCAGCTCAACCCCGGGCAAGTTTGCTTCCTTTTCTTTTGTTTCCCTTAGCTCTGGGTACTGCAAATGTTTGGTCATTTGTCATTTTCACCAATTAAAACAATGAGCTTTGCCAAACTAAAAGGGCTGCTACCCCTTTAACTACATGTTTAATAATTCATGCACGAAATAGAACTTTCCTTTCTCTGGCTGGAATGAACAAAATTTCCTCAGAGATTGCTTTAGTGTTATATCTAGATAATGCTTTAGGATTGCAATCTAAATCATACTAGAATAACTTCATTAGAATTACTATGATACATCATTCTAATGTACAGGCCTACAATATAATGTTACTGTTGGAGTAATCCAATAAAATCAGTGGGTCCCAGACCAGAAGTGTGTGAGAAAGGTCTTGAAGATTGCCAGAATGTATATCGTTAGAGAGAGGAGGAGAATTTGTGGATTTATAAGCATACATGGGCATTCTAAAGGGTAAATGGGAAAAAAATCACAATTCAAGAGAAAAAGTGGGCTGTAGTTATATCCTCGTCCATGAAATTGCAAATAATGCAAAAATCTTTGGATGGTAAAAGCAAGTCAGCTTGGCTAATAAAACCAACAAGCATTCACCTGAATTTGAAATTTAGATCAATTACTCTTGTGTTAAGTGATTCAGCTTCTCACATTTGTCTGGAAGCATCGCAGTAGGTGAAGGCACGGTGCAGAATTTGGAGTTAGAGATTTGAGATTTATTTCTTTCTCCACCAATTTGTAGCTCTGTAATCATGGGGTACTATCTATTTAACATTTTGTACCTCAATGTTCTTACCTATAAGATGAAGGTAGCAAAAGTTAAGATGCATCATAGAA